GCCAGCCTTTCAGTTAGTACCTGAGAATGTTAGCCACTCAGGGATTTCCCAGTATTCTATCTTCAGTATTATATCATAAGCCTGACTTGCCAGCAACTGTTGATTTTCCTATTCTGTGACATGAATCAGTAGTCAAAACATCTAGGAGTTTTTACATTGTTGTTAAATGTTGTCAAATTGATTGAGATTCATAATGACCTCTTGTGACAGAGTAGAACTGCCCTGCCCCATAGGGTCTCCGAGGTTGTAATCTTTATGAGAGCAGTTTGCCAGGTCTTTGTCCTGCAGAGTCACTGGATGTGTTTGAACTACCATCTTTTTAATTAGCTGCAAGCAAGTATGTCAGCCAATTATATTACCAGTGGTAGAAGTAGAGGGCAAAGGGGACTCTTTTCAAAGACACCAAGAGCATTAGAAACAGCCCTCCTCCTCAGTACTAAGTCCTGTCAGCTGGTCAGAACACAACCAGGAGAGGAAGTAGCTCATCCAAGCTGAGTGAGTAGGATCATATACAGGAAAACTTAGGAATTTTTTGGAGAGAGAAATTGCTGTGGTCTCCAGTGTTTAGGGAAGGTTTTTTTTTTTTTTTGGAGGGGAGGATTACTCCCCTGAGAACTCAGCTTTGTTCTGTTCTTTCCACTGACCTGGGTTTTTCTAGGCTGCACCTTAGAGGCACCTGAGTGATGTAAGCTCGTGGTGGAGTAATTAATTGGTGAATGCAAAGCCAGGCTATTGTGATTGGGTTGGATGGGGTATGTGGGCAACAGAGGATGGAGAGGAATTAAGAGTAGAGAGAAGGAAAAGCTCAGGTCCAGTGTCAAGGGCCTTGGCTTATATGGCCCAGGAAATGAAGAACCCTTGCTGAGGAGTGCAAGCTAATGAGAGGCTCCTGTGGAGGCTGATCCAGGTAGTTGTTGTTCTGTGGGAGGCAGTGGAGCTTCATGTAATATCTTGGTCTCCATGGAACATTCTTGATTTCCATGCAGGCAACCTAGTTCTGTTCTGACCAGTGCACTTCATGCGCAGCCATCACCCATCTCTCAGTGCAGGCTTGCATTTTGGTGTAATGCTGAACAGAAAAAGCCTGGTAATCTACTTTTGAAAACCAGACAATGAAAACACTGGGGTCTTGAACTGTGTCTATCACCTGAGATAACATTTTAGTGAAGTAAAAGATTGGCACACAAACTAAAAGATACTATTTGTGACTATGGTGTTCCACTAAAACCCATCTGTATGAGACCAAAAGGCCAACAATGACTCTGAAGGAAAGATGAGAAGATAAGGGTGTAGGGAAACTAGACTACTGGAAAGGGAACAACCAGGAAGCAATTAAAGGGAACATGGACACACTGGAAAAAGTAGTGTTTCTGACCACTTTGTATAGAAATTGTCAAATTGAAACCTAATTTACTGTGTAAACGTTCCCTGAAAACAAAGTAAATAATTATTTATAGAAACTCCCATGACTCACAAAGATCTGATCCACAACCGTTCATGGAGATGATACAGGACCAGGCAGCATGTCTTTCTGTTGTATGTGGGGGTGGCTGTGAATCAGGGTTGACCTCAAGGGAGCAAACGACCACAGGGTCGTCTTGTAAGGAGATACTTTATAAGGCCCTGTGCAACTGGTTGTGAAATTAAAAGCAGGTACTACATTACTAAAGGAGCCCTGGGGGCACAGTGGTGAGGCATTTGGCTCCTAACTGATAGGTCAGTGGTTTGAATTTACCAGCCACCCCTCAGGAGAAAGATGTGACAGTCTGCTTAAAGATTGATTACAGCCTTGGAAACCCTATGAGACAGTTCTACTTGGTCCTATTAGAGGGTTGCTATGAGTGGGAGTCAACTCATTGCAGTGGGACCATATGACTGTTAAAACAGTTGTAGCTGTTATTTCTTAACATTTGCTTTAGTGCTTCAGTGAGGGACACAGTGGAGGCGGGGGATAGGAGGGGAACGCACACTCTGTCTTCTGTGGAGGAGTAGCACTCTCTGCTGAGCCTTCTGGTTATTATGGAGTTTGGCTGGGTTTCTTAACGGCAGGAACAGGTGCCACTGAGGTAGAATCCAACCCCTACCCCTGCAGCACTAGTTTGGGTGGTTAAAGTGAGATTTTGTGCACGTAGCTGTAGCCCATAGGACTTACAGGAAGGAAGTGGGAGACCCCAGAGGGGGCTGATTCACCCCATTGATATGTGGGATGAAGGTGGTGATGGGAAGGTGCTCTGTGGGGTGGACTTCAGAGGTGGAATTAACAGGGCCCCACAAAGGAGGAGGAGCTGAAGGCGCAGATGGCTTAATTGCAGAGTGCCAAAGTGTTTTTTCTGAGCAAGGTTGATAGGCTTTCCTTGTAGATTAACTGGATACTGTGCCTACTGACTGGTGTTGCCTTAGATAAACCAGTTAAATCAGTTGCCTTTGAGGGACTCTGAATAGTTGCTGTTGAGTGGAATCCTACGTATGGGGCTGCACGTATGTCAGCGTTAGACTGTTTTCCGTATCATTTTTTCTGACTAAGCTTTTAGAAACACATTACCAGGGCTTTCTTCTAACGGCCTCTGGGTGGACTTTGAACGTCACCCTCTTGGTGAGAAGCCAAATGCATCAACTGTTCCCACCACCCAGAGATTTCATTGTCTTAAATCGCTGGCAGACTATCCCAAGATAGCAGTCAAAATGTTCACTTCCACAGCACTGGCCTTTTCCTCTTCACTTGACCAATGAAAAATAGGAGCAAGTCAAGGGTTCAAACCCCATCATGGAAATCCACCCAGCCCACTGGTAGCCATAGAGCAGAAGTAAGGTGTTGCAACTCTCACATGAGGCTCCAGAACCCCTGCTGCTTTTGGTCTTTCAGGAGGATGGCACCTTCCCCAGGATCCTGAGCCCCTAGTCCTACAAGGCAGGAGCCCTTGATAGAGGTAGGGCTACCACAAGACGCCCCCATGGATACCTCCTCTGTCCCCTTGTCACACATGGGTCTTGAAGCTAATTTTACCCACAAGCCAATGCAAATTTCTACCTACAACAGTCTTCACTCTTCTCTCAATATTGGCCTGTGGCCTTTTGTTTTGTTTTTGCTATTTTAACCATTTTCAGAGGCAGCATTCAGTGGCATTAATTTATTTACCATGTTCTGCAACCATCACCATTATCCTTTTCCATCCCCCCAAACAGAAAATCAGAGCCCCTTTAGCAGTAACTGCCAGTCTCCTGTCCCCAGGCCTTGGTGACAACCAGTCTACTTGGGTCTCTATATTTGCCGCGGTTCTGGTATTTCATGGAAGTGGGATGCTCCAAGAGCTGATCTTTTGTGTCTGCCTTCTTTCACTCAGCATCCTGTTTTCAGGGTTCCACATATAGCACAGATCGGGACTTCATTTCTTTTTGTGGCTGATAATGTTTCATTGTGTGTACATAGCACATTTTGTCATTTATTCATTTGTCTTTTGAGGGACATTGGAGCTATCTCCACCACTTGGTTAATGTGAATAGTGCCGCAGTGAAATGTGGTGATGTAGTCAAGTGTCGTCGAGTCACTTGTGACTCAGGGCAACCCCATTTCTGGGCTGTAATCTTTGATGGCACAGGACTGAGCAGTGTGCTTCCTGTTGTGCATAGGGTGGCAGTGGGTCAGAACTGACTCAGTGCACCTAACAACAATCTTAATCTTTATGAAAGCAGATAGGTCTTTCTCTGCAGAATCAATGAGTGGATTTGAACCACCGACCTTTGATTTAGCAGCCAACCACTTAACGGTTGCATCGCCAGCATTCCTTGGACATTGTTATATAGGTTTTCAGTGTTTCAGTTCAAGTTCCTTTCGTCAAGACATTTACCCATGACAGCCTTTGAATTCCCGAATGTTTCCATTTACCAGTGCTCCTTAAGGAGATGTGGTGGATGCAGGGAACCTTGTATTGGTACCCTGCTACTTGGTCCAGTCCAGCATCTGCTCATTCAGTTTTCTCTGAGCTCAGGACTTCCCATCCTCATCCTTAGCTGGAGAAAAGCCCCCTGGAAATACGCAGCTATGGTGGCCTGGATATGCCTGGGAGACAAAGTGGCTTAAATGTTTCACTTCTAGAATGATCCATACACATGTGGAGAGGATCCTGGAGCTGCATTTCTATCACAGGAGCCTTCAGCCAGCTCAAACTCCCTTCTCTTTTTGCTTTCTTATGCACTGAAGCGCTTGTACCTTTTAAAGCCATTTTTCATCACATGTGGAGTCCCCTGGGTCATGCAAATCGTTTATGTGCTTAGCTACCAATCAAAAGACTGGCAGTTTGAGTCTACCCAATGACGCCTGGGAAGAAAAGCCTGCTGATGTACTTCCCCCAAAAAACCTGTTGCCATCATATTTGCAACCCATGGTGACCCCATTTGTTACACAGTAGGACTGCTCTGTACAGTTTCTTGGCTGTTACTTTCCAGAAGCAAATCACTAGGCATTTCTTCTGTAGAACACAAGGTGGATTTGAGCCACCAGCTTTTAGGTTAGTACCAAAACCAAACCAAACCCACTGCCCTTGAGTCCATTCTGACTCACAAGTGCCTTAGAGACAGAATAGAATTGCCCCAGAGTGGTTCCAAGGCTGTCAATCTTTACAGAAGCAAAGCCCAAACCAAACCCACTACCATAGAGTGGATTCTGACCCTCTATCTTAGAGGACAGAGTGGAACTGCCCCACAGGGGTTCCAAAGCTGCAGGCTTTACAGGACAAGAGCAGACTGCTACCTCTTTCTCCCACAGAGTGGCTGGTGGGTTTGAACCACTGACCTTTCTGTTAGCAACCGAGTGCTTAACCACTGAACTGCCAGGGCTCCTATACAAACACAGGCCTTTCATTTCCCCCTCTGCCCTTCTGTCTCCACTCACACATCCTACAGCGGTATGTACCCCATTTAGTGTGTTTGATGTAACTGCTGCCCACATATCTGCAGGATTCATTGTCTATTTGACGCCGCCGGGCCTGTCTCCCTTGCTGCAGGTTTCTCTCGCTCTGCCTTTACATTTGGAATCGAGAGCCACATCAGCCAGTCCAACATCAGTGGGACGCTAGTACCACCAGCTGCGCTCATCTCTATCCTCCAGAAGGGCCTACAGTATGTGGAGACCAAGATCAGCATCAACGAGGTATGTCCTGCCCAGGGCCTGGAGCCCACAGGTGGCATGGCAAGTATGCAATCATATTGTAAGGTGCTGTCTGGTCGGCTCTGACAGGTGGCAACCCTACACTTCACCAGAATGAAATGCTGCCCAGCACCATGCTGTCTTCACAACTCTGGGCATGTTTCAGTCCATTGTGGTGGCTCTTGCATCCATTCGTCTCATAGAGGGTCCCCTATTGTCACTGATTGTCCATTTAGCAACCAAAGTGCCCTTCTCCAGCAGTCATTCTTCCCTGATAACACATCCAAAATAAGTGAGTTCTGAAATTCTAGTCCCCTCAGTGGAAGCACTCCTGAACCACGTGGAGCACTTGGAAACACTCTTCACATGCATTTAATTGAGCCTAGTGGGATGGTGTGGACTTAGAACCACGAGACTGTGTGTGTCATGAGTGACCATCCAGTGGGCCCCAGCTCATGGACACTTCATGTATTGTGGCCCTGAGAACAAGCTGGAATCCAACTTGTATTTTCCCAAAGGAACTTGAGAATAGTTAAGGTGTTTTGTTCAACTTTACTTGATCTGGGGTGGTGATTATATCTGTATACAGGTAGCACAGTATTGATGCCTTTTCCACGTCAGTGTTTTCCACATAAACACATAGGCACTGGCTGATGGATGTAAATGCTACATTTTCAAATCTGAAAATACGCAGCATCCTCTGTCCATGTCCCGCCATAGAAGTCCAGAATTCTCTATCCTCTTCTGTCCTGACCCTCTCCCACAGGTGATGCAGCCCAGTGTCCTCAGTTCATCTCCAGCTGTGGAAGTCCAGGGCCACAGGCCCAACTTCCTTGACTCCTTCCAGTTTTCTGCACTCTGTCTTCCTCTGAACAGTTCCATCTTTGTTATCCATGGCAGCTGCTCCACTTCCCTTCAGCTTTTGAAAAACTCTTTAAGAAATTTCTTAGCAGCAACCAGTTGCCATGAAGTTGATTCCAACTCAATGATAATCCCATGTGTGTTGGAGGACAACTGTGCCCCATAGGGTTTCCAGTGGCTGAATTTTAAGATTACCAGGCCTTTCTTCTAGGTGCCTCTAGATAGACTCACACTACCAACTCTTTCAGTTAGCCGCTAAGTGTTACTTACCATTTGTATCACACCCAGCCCTCCAAATCTAAAAGTGACTTTGTGTTTTCTGTCTATTGTTACCCTTTGTCATTCATCAGCCTTTTAAACATCCTATTTCTGGCTGTCCTGTCAGCTTCTACTTCCTCTTTCCTTCCACTAATGTAGTTGCCCCACATTTTCCACCTTTTTCCCCGTCAGGTCCTGTCTGGCCTGTTTATCAGCATGGGGAGAGGAGCCCTTGACCCGTAGGGCCCCTGACACTCAGATGCCCAGATTTGATTTCCATCCTCCAAGGGCTCCTTTTCTGTGCATCACAAGCTCTCAACCCAGATCCCACGAGATGCCATGGAGGGGCCATCTCATTTGTCACTTGGTTTCCATTAGCAGGAAAATGACACAAAGTGCTGGTACAATTTAACTCCAGAAATGATTTTACAAGTTTTTGGGTAGCCACAGCTTTTTCTGACGGGGTATGAGTGTAGGAAGGAGGTGCTTGTGTCATGGCAAGGAATTCAACACTGCTCACTTTGGCCTGAGCTGAGGTGCAAAATTATAACCAGACATATCAGCCTGGGTTATTGTTTCATGCATTTACTTCAAATACGGAGCTATAACCAGAAATCAGCTGAGGCGATGTTTTCGTTAGTTCCTGTCCATCTGAACTCTTCTCACTCCAATGGTTTCTAATGTTGGAGGCAAGTCCCCTTTGGAACAAATAGAACTGGGCTTAGAAACACCAGAAACAGCCTGAGGCACTGAGTGTCAGTGACTTCTGTTCTTGGAGTGTTTGATCAAGAAGGGACTTCTACTGGGTCTAGGCATGTGTATGGAAAACAGTTCAGTGGTAGTTGCCAACCAGAGTCAAAGGAAGTGTGGCAACTCTGAAGCAGACTTGAATGAGGTCATGGTCTGTTGTGTTGAGGTTCTGTTTAATGGTCATCCTAAACTCAGGATGACAGCTGAGGTAGAAACAAGCATCCTAGCAATCCAGCTCAGAATGGTGTGAGAGCCACGAATTTGGCATTAATGCTTTCAGAGTTACCTCTTTCCTATAAAAGACTAGTTGTTTACAAAGATTTTCAGAAGTTGTCATAGAGTTGAGTCAGGGACTCTCTCCCTTAGCATTGTTGACGTTTAAGGCCAAATCATTCTCCGAGGGGCATTGGGGCATCCTGTGTACTACAGGGTGTGGAGCAGCATCCCTGGATTCCACCCTTTAGATGCCAGGAGCACCTCAACCCTGTTGTGACAATAAGGTGTCTCCAGTCATTGCCCACAGCTTCCATGAGGGCACCATCCCTCCCGATTGAGAAACCCTGCATGAAGGGTGACAGTCTTAGTCATGGAATGAAATTGGCATATCCAGATGCCCTTCATTTGATTTGACAGTTTAGAGAATCCTGAGTGTCTTAGTCATCCAGTGCTGCAAGTGGGTGGGTGGGTTTCATGAAAAGAGAAATACCGCAAGTGGGTGGGTGGGTTTCATGAAAAGACATTCATTTTCTCACAGTTTAGGAGGCTGAAAGTCCAAATTCAGCGTGTAGATTCTAGTGGAAAGCTGTCTCTTCTTGTCAGCTCTGGGGGCCTTTCGTCCTATGTTCTACCTTTGGTGGTCTCTGTGCAGACTGCATTTTCTCATTCATTTGTTTCCTCTGTGCCTAATATGTTCCTTTTATATCTCAGAGGTGATTGGCTTAAAACCTACTCCACACTGATGGTGTCATTAACATAATGTTGTTGTTATGTGCCGTTGAGTCGGCCCCGACTCATAGCGACCCCTCCTTGGGTTTCCAAGGCAGTATCACTACGGAAGTAGGATTGCCCAACCTTCCTTCCGAGGAATGGCTGGTGGGTTTGAACCGCCAGCCTTCTGGTTAGCAGTCAAGTGCTTTAGCCACTATGCTACCAACGCTCCTATTAACATAATAGAAGAAATAAAATTCTCAGATAAGATTACAACCACAGGTGTTAATTCTGACTCATAGTGACCCTATAGGACAGAGTAGAACTGCCCCAAGGCTCCTTCTCTATAAGTATGTTGTTGTTGTTGCTGTGTGCCGTCGAGTCGGACCCGACTCATAGCGACCCTTCCTTGGGTTTCCAAGGCAGTATCACTATGGAAGTAGATTGCCCAACCTTCCTTCCGAGGAGTGGCTGGTGGGTTTGAATTGCCAGTCTTCTGGTTAGCAGTCAAGTGCCTTAGGCACTACGCTACCAGAGCTTCTTCTCTGTAGGTATAGGGATTAGGATTTACAATACATGTGTGTTGGGGCACAGTTCAATCCATAGTCCAGAGCCTTCTCACTGATGGCAGTCATCCCATTTCACACACCCTACTCCTCATCCTGGACATGGGGAATCCCCTCATGCCTGAGTGTCCAGTGCAATGCTGGCTGTCTCCGCCTCAGGCCCCCACATGCCAGTGTGCACTTCCATTCCCTGTTTGTCTCTTGTGGGGGGCAATGAGCTGGATGAAACACTTCCATGGAGCTGGCACTATGGCCTTTCTCCCAGGATGGCACCGTGTTTGACGGGCTACCCATTGAGTCACTGTCACTGATTGACACAGTGATGCCGGATTTGGTGCAGACATGGCAGCAGGCCTTCAGAGAGAAGCTGGCCCAGCAGCAGGCCAGTGTGGTGGCAACAGTGGCAACAGCAACAGCAGCAGCCACACCAGCAGGTGTGTCCTATCAAAACACACCAAAGAACAGAGAGGCTGCAGTGAATGGGGAAGAGAATGGGGCACATGCAATAAGTAGGTGCCAGGCTCAGGTACTTCCTAAAGAATCCTTAGAACTCTGCTTGCTCTGGGTTCCTTTCCACATGGCTTTTGTCTGATTGCCTGCTGTCTGAGCAGAATAGTGCCACATTCTGGTTTCTTTCTCATCAGAGTTTTTAGACAAAGTTTTTAGATGGTCTTCACATTAAATAAATAAATGGGGGGACAGTCTTCCCTTATGCATTCTCAATTTTAGGAAATCCTGCTGATCTGAGAACTTTAGTCAGTATGTTACTGTTGTTGGGTGCTATTAAGTTGATTCCAACCCACAACAATCCTGTAGGGCTGAGTATAGAACTGTCCTCAGGGGGTTTCCAGGGTTTCTATAAAAATAGAAACAGAGCCCAGATGACTGTCAGTGACCCTAGAGGACAAAGTAGAAATGCTCTAGAGGGTTTCTAGGGCTGTCAGTCTTAACAGAAGCTGATGGTCTCATCTTTCTTCTGTGGAGCATCCAGTGAGTTTGAACCACTGACCTATTGATTGGCAGATGAGCACATAATGCTTTTGCCACTAGGGCTACTTGTAGTTAGTATAATGATGAGAAAAGTGCTGCATGATTATAGTCTAGCATCGACAACACTGTTTGCTTTGTGGGAGCAAACATCCAGCCTTCCATGTGGAGGGGTTTTTCCTTGGGTGGTGCAGTCAATTAATGTGCTTACTCAGCTGCTAGCCATTGGAAGAAGAACCTCAGAAGAAGAGCTTAGTGAACTATTTCCAAAAGATCATCCAGGGAAAATCCTGTGGGACGTAGTTCTCTGACACCTCTGACTGGGCTTGAAACGCCCCACCTTTCATTTCATAGATGCCTGCATTTGTTGTATCACTCAGTGATCCCTACCCAGTCTCTCCGTGGACTGCCCTTTTCATAGAACAATAGTGCTCTCCTGCCCCATTTCATGTTTACTCAAGAGCCACATGTCTTCTCTTGCTTCCTGCTGCAGATAATCATTCAAAACCAATGGAAATAGATGGGGAAGTGGAGATCCCACAAAACAAGGCCACTGTGCTTCAGGACCATGAGTCTGAGGTGTTCATCTGTGCTTGGAACCCTGTCAATGACCTCCTTGCATGTGGGTAAGCACTTCAGCTTGGGAGTGGTCCAGGTGTTGGGGTCCGAAATGTTTGCTCATCTCTGAAGGTCTGCCTTGTGGGACACATTCTTACCTTGCACTGGGTTTATAACATCTTCATAGTGTGTGCACACGAGCCTGGGAAAATCCTGCACCTCTTCCCTGTGGGTCTTGTATTGTAGGGATGGAGAGGTCATTGTCCTGAGCTGTTTTCTCACTGGAGCAGAGAGCAATGCAAGGACGTTGAATATTAATAAAAATGGCTTAGTTTCCTACTGCTGCTATAACAGAAATACCACAAATGGATGGGGGGTTGGTTAATGAATAGAAGTGTCTTTTCTCACAGTTCTGGAGGCTTGAGGTCTGAATTCAGGGCACCAGGTCTGGAGAAAGACCTGCCTCTGTGGCTCTGGGATCAAGTCCTTATCTCTTCAGCTTCTGTCCCTAGGTCCTGGAAGATCCCCATGCAGCATCTGTCATCCCCTATCTCTGCATCTTTGGTTCTCCCCCTAATTGGCTTTTTTATATCCATAAAAAGATTTATTTACAATACACCCTACTCTTCTGTGACCTCATTACCCTAATGACAACATCCCTAATGCCAAATGGAATTAGGAAGGAGTTAAAGTTTACATTTTTGTGGCTGGGGGGGAATGCAGTTGAATGCATAACAAAAGTCCGAGTGTGAGGAGGTCAGCCCAGCAGTGAAGGGATTGGAGGGGCAGCACAGCACATCCCAGGGTACCTGGCCCGGCTGGCACGTGCCTGAGCTGGTAACTGTCCACATCAGCCAACACTGAGTGTCCGTATGTTCCTGTCCAGGTCTGGAGACTCTACTGCGAGGATATGGAACTTCAATGAAAACAGCAATGGGGGCTCCACCCAGCTCGTATTGAGGCACTGTATATGGGAAGGGGGGCATGATGTACTCAGTAACAAAGACGTGACCTCACTGAATTGGAATGTAAGCTCCTCCACCACCCAGACAAACCTGTCACATCTGCCCACCCCATGGGAGGGCTTCCTGATGCCCAGAGCCATGTGTGTGCAATTCTCACAGGGCGTTCCACTTAAAAGGGTTCTGATGAGACTGGCTCCCTCTGCCTGTCCATGGTCAGTATGATTTTCAGTGTTTATTGAGGAATAGCATAAAATGTAGCTCCCCAATGTGAAGTAGACGCTGATTTTTCCTCCCACATTCTTACATTCCTTTGTAACCTCTAGTCTTTCTTTTTGGTCTCTATGAATTGGCCTATCCTGGATATTTTATATGTAGTTGTTGTTAGGAGCCATTGATTCAGTTCCAACTTATTGCAACCCTGTGTACAACACAATAAAACACTGCCCAGGCCTATTCAGTCCTCACAATACTTGCTATACTTGAGGCCATCATTGTAGCCACTGTGTCAATCCATCTTGTAGAGGATCTTCCCCTCTTTCACTGATCCTACACTTTACCAAGCATGATATCCTTCTCCAGGGAATGATTCTGACAATATGACCAAAGGAGGTGAGATAAGTCTGGCTATTCTCACTTCTAAGGAATATTCTGGCTGCACTTCTTCTAATAGAGATTTGTTTATTGTTCTGGAATTCAGTAATTATATTCCGTGTTCTTTGGCAGTATTACAATTCAAAAGCATCAATTCTTCTTTACTCAGCATTTAATTTTTACATGTGTGTGAGGCAATTGAAAATACGATGGCTTAAGTTAGGCATACCTTAATCTTGAAAGTGTCATCTTTGCTCTTCCATAGTTTAAAGAGGTATTTTGCAGTAGATTTGTCCAGTGCAACATGATGTCTGATCTTGTTACTGCTTCTTCTTTTGGTGTTGGTGGATCCAAGTAAAGTCAAGTCTTTGACAACTTTAATCTTCTGTACATTTCTCATGATACTACTTACTGGTCTACCTGTGAGGATTTTCATTTTCTTTATGTTGAGATATAATCCATACTGCAGACTGAAGTCTTTAATCTTAATTAGTAAATGCTTCTATTTATCTTCACTTTCAGCAAGCAAAGTTGTGTCATCTTCCTATTACAGGATAATTGTTGTTCCTTCAATCCTGATACTGCATTCTTCTTCAGATAGAGTAGCTTCTCAGAGTATTTGCCTGACACACAGAGTAAGTGGTGAAATGATACATGCTTTTACTGATTTTAAACCATGCAGTATTCCCTTGTTTTATTTGAACAACCATCTCTTTCTCTGTGTATAGTGTCCTCAGGAGCACAGTTAAGTGTTCTGGAATTCCCATTCTTCTCAGTGTTATCCATAATTTGTTGTGATGCACATAGTCAAATGCCTTTGTAGAGTAAGTAAAACACAGGTTAACATCTTTCTGGTATTATTTGCTTTCAGTCAAGATCCATCTGACATCAGCAATGTTATCAAGATACTGCAGCAAATGTTTTTAATTAGCTCTAGCAAAATTTTACTTTTGTGTGGCATTAATGATATTGTCAATAATTTCCACATTGTGGGATAACCTTTCTTTGGAGTGGGTATAAATATGGATCTCTTCCAGTTAGTTGGCCAGGTAGCTGTCTTCCAAATCTCTTGGTATGACCTTTAGCAGGGCATCCATTTGTTGAAACATCTCAGTGGGTAGTCCATCAATTTCTGGAGCCTTATTTTTCATCAGTTTCTTCAGTTCAGCTTATATTTCATCCTTGAATATCATTGCTGCTTGATCATATGCTACCTCTTGAAATAACTGAAAGACTACCAGTTCTTTTCGGTACAGTTTTAGTGTATTCCTTCCATCTTCTTTTTTCTTTTTCCTCTCTACATTTTATTGAAATATAATTTAACTAACTCACTCACTCACTGTCATCAAATAGGATCCCACTGATAGCAACTTTCCTTGGAATTCTCAGGCAGTATCTTTCAGAAGTAGATTACCCAGTCTTCTTTCTGAGGAGTGGCTAGTAGTTTGAACCATCAGAGGTGCCAAAATATAATTTATGTACAGGGAAATACTCTAAAGTGACATAGGTCAGTGCTTTTTTTTTTTCCTCCCGGTTTTCTTTCCCCTCCCCTGTCATTCCGTCATTCCTGGTAATCAACAAAGAAAGTTTTCCTTCCATTTATAAACCTTACCATGACTTTTTATAATAATGAACTAATACTGTATTTGTCCTTCTGTGATTGACTTATGTCACTCAGCATGATGTTCTCCAAGTTGATCCTTGTATGTGGTGATTTGCAGATTCTACGTTATTCTTTAGTGTTGCATTCTTTAGTATTCCATTGTGTGTATGCACCATTGTTTGGTTACACATTCTTCTGTTGATGGGCATGTAGGTTGTTCTCACCTTTTTGCTCTTGTAAATAGTGCTGTAATGAAAATGGGTGGGCATTTTCTGTTCTTTTCCTGGCTCTCACTTCTTTAGGGTATATAACTAGTAAAGGGATTTCTGGGTTAAGTGGTATTTCTAATTCCAGTTTTTTAAGGACTCGTCATGCTGCTTTTCACAATGGTTGTATCATTTTATAGTCCCACCAGCAGTGTGTGAGAGTCCCAATTGCTCCACATTCTTGGCAGCATCTGTTATTTTCTGTTTCATTGAATTTTGCTATTAGTGCTGGGGTGAGATGGTGTGTGTTGTTGCTTTGATTTGGTTCTCTCTGATGGCTGTTGATCATGAACATTTCTTCATGTATTTGGTAGCTGCTTGCATGTCTTCTTTGGTGAAGTGTCTATTCATGTCTTCTGTCCATTTTTTAATAGGATTGTTAATCTTTTTGTTGTTGAGTTGTTGGAGTTTTCTGTAAATTTTAGAGATAAGTCCTTTTTCAGATACACCATTGCTGAATATTTATTCCCAATCTCTAGGTTCTCTTTTTACTCTTTTGGCAATGTAATTATCAACAGGCATGTATTTGTTGCTGTCATTTTGTTATGCGTTTTTTTTGTGGTGTGGCTGTTGCTTTGTTCCATATATTTTCTGTGCTGAGCTTGTTTTGTTTATGAATTGTATTATCACTTCCTTCTTTGCTATCATTTTAGTGTTTGCTAAATATTTGTGTTAGTCCTCTTTATCATTTTGATGTGAAAGTTTACCATTTTCTTTGAGGTTACCCTGTGATTTATAATTTTCTTCCCAAGTTTAGAACAGTCATTTTATCTTATAGTTGTCTTCACTTCCCTACCGTTTCGAAGAGTTGTAACTGTACTATTTTTTTTTCCCCTCTTTCTGGTTTGTAATTGTCCTCATTTGTCGATTGATATCTCTGATTGCCTGTTTACAATCTTGTAGGCTTATTTGCTTTAGATACTTCCATAACTGGGTTGGTTTCTGGGTTATGTCATCATGTGTGTTAGTAGTCTGTTGTTTTCTGTTCTTGGTTCTCTGTTCAAAGTACTCACTTTAGCATCTCTTGTAAAGTTGGTCTGGTTTTAACAGATTCCCTTAATTTCTGCTTATTTGGAAATCTCCTAATTTCACCATCATATTTGGGGGACAGCTTTACTGGTATATAAATCTTGGTTGGAAATTTTTTTCTTTCAGGATTTTATGTATACCATCTAATTATCTTTTTTCCTACATGATTTCTTTCAAGAAATCCAGGCTTAGTCTTATTGGTTGTTCCTTGTAGGTAACTTCTTTTTTCCTATACTGTTTTCAGGATTCTTTGTCTTTGATTTTTGTTAGTTTGATGATGATATATCTTGGCTATTTTCTTTTGGGAGTCCATTTTGTGTTTGGGGTTCATTGGACTTCTTGAATAGATACATTGTCAGCTTTCATCATACCAGGAAAATTTTCTTCCAACAAGTCTTCAACAATTTTCTCTGTGGTTTTATTTATCTTGTACTATTCTGGAATTCTGATTATACATAAGTTATTCCTTTTGATGGTATCCCACATGATCTTTAGGCTTTCTTCATTCTGTTTTGATCTTTTTCTAACTAATCCCATTCCAAAGAAGTATTCAAGTATTTGTCTTCAGTCTCACTAATACTGTCTTCCATTGATTCAGTTCTTCTTTGCCTGTTCAATGCATTATCTAATTCTTGAAATTTTGTATTAATCTTAGGTAGATCTTGTATGATTTCTAATTTTTCATTAATTTTCTCATTTTGTACTTGCATTATCTTTTGAAATTGTTCTAGGGGTTTCTCTGTGTTTTCCTCAATTTTGTCAGTGTTTTCCTTAATCTGTCTCTCAATCCATTGTAGGTAACTAAATATAATTCTTTTCAATTCCTTACCAGGAAGTTCCAGTGCTGCACCTTCATCAGGGATGTGTTCTAGGTCTGTATCCAGCTCCCTTGTTTCTCTTGCTTCTTTGTGTGAACTGTGATGCTCTGTTGTCTCCAAGGCATTGTGATGTTTTTGTGTTTATATTTAATTGGTGTGTTGGAGTGACTTGCCCATGATTTTTATTTTCTTTGTTTTGATTAGATGATATCTACATAAGCAGGGTATTGTGCTCCTCTGTTTGCTAGTTGCAGCACTTATTCACTCTTCACCTGTCTGCTTTCCCATTGTGAACTTCCCATATGTCCCTGCTGTCCTTGACAAAAGGAGCCTAGTCTTAGGTCCCTGGCATCCAAATGAGAATACTATGTCTTTAGATATCTACCATGGCCATTGCTTGTCAACATTCAGAATGACTGCACCCTCCATCACTTTAAAAATGAAAATGGCCACTGCTTGTAAATATCCAAAATGGTGGCTGCTTTTAAACATTCAAAATGGCTGTACCCTCAATCACTTTAAGTACCCATATTGTGCACCATTTGCAAACAGTTTAAATGGCTGTGCCCTCTGGACAGCCAAAGCTGTGAAAGTCCACAGCTCAGGTTGTCTCGCTCCTTGCTGTTTCCCTTCCTAATCATAGACCACCAGCATAGTTGTCCATGCAGCTCTTGGCAGCCAGAGCTGATCTTTAGGTCAATTCTCAGGTCCCAACACTATTTGGAAATATTCAGGTTGTTGGTCCCATCAGAGCAG